TTTCCAGTTGTCTCAGGAAAATTATCTCCCTTAGCTCCTTTCCATGATGCATGGTGGATGATAGGAGAGAAGAGTCTGGGATTCACATGTATCAAAGCTATGAATTCTGAAGAAAAAAATTCTGAAACAAAAATCCAGTGACCCTCCCACCCTCCCAGGATGCTCATGCACCCTGCATGAATGGTCACAGAAGTCTCTGTCTGTCTCATCATCTTCTCTTCACCAGGCTGATAGGGCATCATTCATTTATTCAACCAATCTGCACTGAGTACCTCCTAAGTAGCAAGCACTTTTCTAAGGCTTGAATTAAACAAAATTCCTGTCCTGATATCATGACCAATTATTCTGGCACATGTCTATTTACTTTATATACTCAGGCCAAAAAAAAAAAAAAAAGACATTGCTTTATGATCCTTAACCTTATTATAACCGGAAGCTTCCATCCCACAAGGCTGGTGAAAATTTTAATCTTGGGCATTTTTAGGGACCTGTCCCAGAACTCACTAGGGTCCTACAAACATCTATAGACTTTATGGGTTGCTGGAAAGTGGGTGAAAAGACCTCACTACTGTTCATTCCATGGTGATCATCACTGATGTCCTTCTTCCCAGATCCTCATGGTCCCTTGAGGGTGGATGGCTCCACAGTTTCTGTGCTGTGTTGGCCTGGAGCTTTGTGCTCAGGGTGGGAGTCCCCAAGTTCAAGGTCTTCCTCATATTGAGATTCCAAAACTGGGTTCTCTTCCTTCCATTATGCGTAAATAGCACTGAAGCCTTTTTCTCCAACAAGGTCAGAGCAAGAGACAAGTGCTTAATTCATGAATCCAGAAAGAGCTAAAAGAGGTAACTAATTATGTATCTTGACCATTATATTTTTAGCACAAAACATATAAATGTGTATTTGTTTGTCAGTCTCTTAATATTGACCCAAGCCCTTTCCTTTCACTATGATCACACTGTCTGGTGTGGTCATTATCTCTCTTAGATCCCCACTCATATTTCATCAGTGATGTTCACCTTTAATTCCTTTATAGTGAGTGGGAACTTAAACACTCTTGGGAAGCAATCTGAAGGAAGAATTTTCTAGACTTTTTTTTTATTCTTCCCCAATTTTTCATTGTTTCTCACTTGCATTAATTTCACAGGAGTAGCTAATTGCATTGCTTAATTCTTTCCAGAATATTCAACTTAACTTTCATAGGAAGAACCCTTTCTGTGTATATTCACATCTCACTGGGTTACATGTAGTTTAAGTGCATATTCTGAAGAACTAGTGTAACAGGTGTTAACTTCCTTAGGAGCAAATTTAGCTAACTCCTGAGAAGCACATAACTCAGCTGCTGGAGGAAGAAGAAGTAGATGAGCAGACCAGAAAGTGATGGACTGGATCACAGACCACTCCTAAGCTGTGGACTGCACTCAGGATATTTCACAGAAGAAAGGGAAAGCCATGCTTTATCTTCCAAGTTTGGTGGAAATCCATTATGAAAACTTGGTCAGGGTTTACAGTATCAGTTAAAACTGTGCTTCCCTACTGCGTATTTACCCTAAAGATACAAACGTAGTGATCCAAAGGGGCATGTGCACCCGATGTTTATAGCAGCAATGTCCACAATAGCCAAACTATGGAAAGAACCTAGATGTCCATCAACGGATGAATGGATAAAGAAGATGTGGTATATATATACAATGGAATACTATGCAGCCATCAAAAGAAATGAAATATTGCCATTTGTAATGACGTGGATGGAACTAGAGGGTATTATGCTTAGTGAAATAAGTCAATCAGAGAAAGACAACTATCATATGATCTCCCTGATATGAGGAAGTGGAGATGCAACTTGGGGGTTAGGGCGGTAGGAGAAGAATAAATGAAACAAGATGGGATCGGGAGGGAGGCAAACCATAAAAGACTCGTAATCTCACAAAACAAACTGAGGGTTGCCAGGGGGAGGGGAGTAGGGAGAGGGTGGTGGGGTTATGGACATTGGGGAAGGTATGTGCTATGGTGAGTGCTATGAAGTGTGTAAACCTGGCGATTCACAGACCTGTACCCCTGGGGCTAATAATACATTATATGTTTATAAAAATTTTAAATAAAAAAATGTTCTTCCCTACCCTCTTGCTAATGGATATTGTCACTTAAAAATGTAGACTTGGGGGCACCTGGGTGGCTCAGTTTGTTAAGCGGCTACCTTCTGCTCAGGTCATGATTCCAGGATCCTGGGATCAAGCCCTGCATTGAGCTCCCTGCTCAGCAGAGAGCCTGCTTCCCCTTCTCCCTCTGCCTGCTGCTCTGACTACTTGTGCTTGCGCTATCTCTCTCTCTCTGTCAAATAAATAAATAAAATCTTTAAAAGAAAATGTAGAGTTGAAGGTCTTTGACCTTGAAACTCATAGTGATGTGAAACCAGCATGTCTTAATTTTTCAGTTCTTGAAGTTTCAAATTCAATTTCACTGTGTTTTCCTAAATAGAAGGTATAAGGCTTTTCTTTATTTGTCCTCCAGGATCTCAGTTAAAGTGATTGGTCTTTCACTTCATTCTCCTTCTCTGTCCTCATTTAACCTCTCTTATAGGTGTTAATGAAGAGTCACATAGCCCAAAAAAGCTGGGGGTGTGAGGAGAGGGAAGAGAAGACAGGAAAGGGAAGGAAAGCTAATAATCTGTTTTCTGTACAAAATCAGAGCTTGGCTTCTAAAGGATCCAGATGCTTCTATATGGGCATCACGTAGAATACGGCCTTGCAAAATGTGCCAGTAGGAAACTTTTCTGGACACCAGGAGGGTTATTAAAAGAACATAAAACCTTCTGTTTCTGTATATCATGTGCATGGATACAGAACTAGAGGGAAGTGCACTTGGCTTGTGCACCTGTGAGGAAATGGCTCAAGATTCTTCTCTCTGTTCTAGCTTCCAAGATGATATTTGAGCTTCTCTAGCTAGTAATCGTCACAGAATAAAATGATTTCATCCATTTGGCAATAAGTGTGTTAAACTCCCAGATTTGCCTCTAGAACCATCTTTCCAAAGCACAGGTCTGATATTGTCACCCCTTAACTCAGAAAACTCCAGCATCTGGCCTTGCCTAGTGAATTAAATCCTTACCTTGCCCTGGCATTTCCATCCCTCCCAACAGGTCTTGCTCACTTGTTACTTAGGAGTGCCCTGTGTCTACACTCCACTCGGGACACGCGGGGCTACTTATGCTTGTCCATGAACCCTGGGCCTCTGCTTGTGCTCTTGTTGGCTGCTTAGAATGCATGCGTTCCCATCATGCCTGTGTCTGTTAGGCATAGGGGAGGGTTGCAAACAGCAGAATCCCCCTCTCCCTTCACAAAAATGATAAGTTTTGTTTTCCTCAACGTGCTCTCTTCGTTTCTTCCCTTCTGCTAGTATTTCCCAAACTTCTCTTCCATCAGTATCCCTGTGTTAGTGTTTTTCCTTTTAATGGACTTATAATGTTTCCACTTGAATCTAGTTATTATAGAACATTTGAGTCTATGTGGAAAAAAAGAAACCAGTATCCCTTGATAAATAAAAACTCACCACAAAAATGAATTCAATAAGATATACAATGATCTTACCTTCTATCTAGGTAACGCTTGCCTGTGGCATGCTCTGTTTTGGTTTGTGTATTAAAGATCGACAGCCAACAGAGTTTCTCCTTTATGAAATTAGGACAATGGAAGAAGAATGGAAAGTGGGTTGGCTTTCTTGCTGTTTTGTTGTTGTTTTTTTATTGTGTTATGTTGTCACCATAAAATACATAATTAGTTTTTGATGCAGTGTTCCAAGATTCATTTTTTATGTACAACACCCAGTGCTCCATGCAATACATGCCCTCCTTAATACCCACCACCGGGCTTACCCTTCCCCCTACCTCCCTCCCCTCTAAAACCCTCAGTTTGTTTCTCAGAGTCACAGTCTCTCATGGTTTGTCTCCCTCTCTGATTTCCCCCAACACCCTTCTCCTCTCCATCTCCCCATGTCCTCCGTGTTATTCCTTATGCTCCACAAGTAAGTGAAACCATATGATAATTGACTCTCTCTGCTTGACTTATTTCACTCAGCATAATCTCCTCCATCCCATCCATGTTGATACAAAAGTTGGGTATTCATCCTTTCTGATGGAGGCATAATACTCCATTGTATATATGGACCATATCTTCTTTGTCCATTCTCCTGTTGAAGGGCATCTCGGCTCTTTCCACTTACTGTTTTGTAGGTAACACCACACCCACGAACCATCTAAAATAACCTTTGGTATCATTAGTGTGTATGAGAATGTGCTCCATACTTTGGAAAACAGTGCCTCACTCCTGTGAAATGATAAGCAGCTAGAGGGCAAGAAATGATTCTCCTCTCCATGTTCTTTGCCTTTCTGAGAATCTACTCCTTAGGCCTCTAAACTCTCCTTCTTCTGGGGGACACTGAGGCACCTGATGAGCCACCATGTTATTTGATGGGAAGAGAGAAGTAGATATTTCTGTAGCACCAGCCAATGGATTAGTCTGCCTTCTGTGAAACATCAAGATGTAGGTTCTGCGGGCCTCTGGTCTTACGCTGGAGAATGAGTGTGTTTCCTCAAGTTCTTGTGTGTGTATGTGTCTGAGCAGGGTATACATGCTGCGGGGAGAGAGTAGGAGAGGAAGACTGGGAGGTTTTCTGAACTTCCTTAATTCACAAAGCTCTGTTCGTGAAATGCCCCAATGCTCTAGGAGTTGGGTTGGTGAGTTCCTGAGATCTGTGTTTTTGGGGAACTAGACAAGACTCTGGAGACCATCTCCTCCGCTAACCACCCCCCCACCTGGTCCTACCTACTCCATTCCCCTTTTATGGATGAGGAACCAGGGTTTAGGGAACAGGTGTCCAGCCAGCGGGAACTCTGCCTTTAAGCTATAAATGGGAGTTGAATCCAGATGCTTGCGACAGAAAGCAATCACAGTGACCCTCCTGTGACAGACATGAGTTGTTCACAGAATTTTCCCCTCCTTTTCCAGGCCGTGCTGAGTCCTCTTATAGCCATCGCGCTGAAAATATCCCAGATTCATGAGAGAACTGGCCGGAGAGGACCCACTGTCATCACCTGAATGGAGGAAAGATCAGTCACCAGGGCCAAAAGAGAGCCCTTGGCGGGAGACCCTTCACCCATGCCTTCTTGCTACCTGTTTGTGCCTTTTATGATTTCAAACACACACACACACACACACACACACACACACACACACACTAATTTGCTTGTGGGTGGGGGAGGGGGGGTGGGAAGAGAAAAAGAGAAAAAAACGGAGTTTTGTTTGGGGTTGGGTCTATTCCTCCAAATGCAACAGGGTCTTCAGTTGTCTGTTAAAGCAGCACTATCCTTTGGTATCTCTATTTTACCACACCAAAGAACCTCACCTTTTGAGAAAGAGGAAGCAGGTCAGGAACGTGTCCATCATGGCGTCTGCGTACCATTGGCATGAGCTGAGGGAAGGTTCTGACTTCATGCACAGAGTGCAGTGCCGGAGTTAGGCTAATCCCCAAGCTACGGGTGCTGTTGCGAAGGCTCTCCTTGGAAGACTGTCCTTGGCGTGGTAGAGGACTTAGCTTTTCATCCTGGGTCAGGTCTCCCAGGGGACACCTTGTGGAATTCCTCATGGCCACCAGCCACCCGATGGCCCACCTGCCCCCTCCTATCTCCTGCGAGTTTCCATGCCACCTTCTCTCACATCTTTGGAAGCATTCTACAGATCCCCACGGCACACTTTCAAGGAAACACAGCAAAGGGTGTCTTCCTCTCTTATTTTGTAAATAGTGCTATTTTAGCTCTTCTGCCGGCTGCATCCCTCCAGATTTCAGCCATTCATTGTGCAGGTGGAAAGCAGCGTCTTGGCAGGAGACTGCAGATGAGTGCCTAGTGTTTCGCTGGCCCCCCCTTGACGACATCATGTAGGGTGATACAAGGGTTTACATCCATTTCTCCTGGGAAGACAAAATACCACCCTGTCTGCTTTCTCTCTGACTCTCTCTCTGCTCCCTTATCTCACAGCAAGGGCCTGTTTTAAAGCAGTCGTTTGGACACAGCTCACATCTTACAGGGGCTCGAGAAGGAGACAGTGAAATGCTAGCAAAGTAGAGAATAGAGTGCTTGCTGGAAGACCTTAGTGGTGGTTGTTAAGGACCTGATGAGATGTGGGAACAGGGGGTGGCATCCCTGCCGGAAACCAGAAGGTCACGGCTGGCTCACTTTGCCCAGGAGAAGGACACTGCATCCCCAGCAGCCTCTGTCTGCCCCCAGCCGGGACATCCGGTGCGTGGGACCTGTTTGCTTATGTTTTGCTTCCTTGGGAATGACACTCTCACTCACCCTGTCGTTAGCACAGATGATGTGGTGCTCTTTGACTGTGAAGCAAGGGGGTTTTACTGTGGTCACAATGAGAGCAAGCAGGGAGATGTTCCCGGGAAGGGATTTGTGTCCACTTTTTATCTCTGCTTCTTTCAGAAACTTGCTAGGACATGTAGTAACCAATAAAAAAGAAATTCCTGATTTCAACCTGACGCATGGATTGTGGATTTTTGCATGTCTGTCTTGCCATGGGTGTTCCCATTTTGGTAAGTCTGTCTTTCAGGACACTGGCAAGGGCTGGCTTTCGTTGTTAGGACCTGGAAATGTATTATGTAAGTGGGACCAGAAAAGGCAGATTGCTCAAAACTGCCTTTGGGAGTCAGCAGAGATGAAATTGGCAACTGGTCTTTTATTGTAAGTATCTTCGTTTCATATTCACAGAGGGCGGCTTTGAACAGAGATTCTGAAGTCATGGACTTTACCAGCAACACATGTCATTTGCCTTAAAGCTTTGGTTCTCACCACCTTTACGCGGTGTCTGTGGTGGCATCCGTGTACTACTCAGCTCTGCGTGGGTCCGTACAGCAGGATGCGTTTTTAGGGTTAGCTCTACGTCAGAAAATATGTATGTTTTTCTCAAGTCCCTGAACTTTGAATCATCTCTAGCTTCAAAGTTCAAGTATAAGGTAATCCTCATTTAAAATTTCTGTTTTGTTTTTATTTCTAGCACGTGTGCCTAGCCACCCAAGTATACATTCATTCATTCATTCATTCAACAAACACTGGTTGATCAACAACTCTCTGCAGAGTCCTGTTTGTGGTGCAGTGAGGAGAAGTATAAAATGTGATTCCTGCTCCTAAGAGTTTGTAAGGTGGGCATGGGAGGCTATGACAAAATACACAAACAGGCGGGAGGACATGTTCTAGTAGAGGTGCCAGGAACATGCTATGGGAACACGCAGAGGGATTGGCTCTGAGATGGCAGGACACTAGGCACATGGTGGGTTTCCCAAAGAGTGGAATTTCCTGAGACTTGTAATCGTGTATATGATTTCACGAGGGGTCAGTGTAGCCAGAGCAAAGACTGGGAGTTGAGAGGTAGGTTGGCTGGAGAGGAGGCTTGCCTTGGGTCTCATGGCTTCGCATTGGATCTTTCTTAAGAATAAATGACTGGAGAGGTCCAAGAATTTTGTGGGGACCACAGGAAACCATCATAGAGGAAAGCGTGGATGGAGTGTGGCAACTGTCAGGCCACTCTTGTGATTGGCTAGTATCGAGGGGTTCACTCGTGACACCATGTGCCCCCAGGATGATGGCAAGCAATGATGTCCACAATGCAGTGGATTCCAACCACGCCAGTGTTTGGAAATGTGTGTGTATATGTGCCGGGGAGTCATTTAAGGGAAGGGGATGGCGGATTCTAAATATTCTACCAGGGGTCCACCAGTCCTTTAGAACAAAAAATTGGTTTGCCTCATTCATGATTCTTGAGTTCATTAGCTGACTTTGAAAATGGCAGGCAGCCGTTATTAAAATGAGATATTTATCCAGTATTACTGATCCGAGGTCCAGAGAACAAATGGTTTTTTATGGCATCTCAGGCTGAAGGGCTTGAACATGACCTGAAGCCTTTCTACACAGGAAGCCTTAGACTGATGATGAGTCCCATGGCGGCACGTTGGGCGGATGGTCGGCTGTGCTGAGCCAGTGTTGTCTGCAGATAATGCAGACAGCCCCAGGCATAATGGTGTGCTGACTTCTGATTGGCCAGCTTTGGGTCCGTGTAAGGCATGGGATTTACTTTGACAGCGATAGCCGTCAGCCATGGCAGGCATGGGGAATTTGAAAAGCACCTGCAAGAATAGGGAGTGCCGTAAGAGGTGACTCCATTTTATTGCTTGATCGTGCACTGGATAGTCTTGAAACACATGGACTCTGACATCCCAGACACCTGCCTTGAGGAGATCTCCCTCCTGGAGTGGAGAAGGGCCTGAGAAATCATGCACCTTTCGAAATGATGTAACTGCCAGTAAATCAGTGTTTGTCCCTTCAGCAGTTACAAACAGCAAGAGAGGATCAGAGGCAGCAGAGCTTAGCAGATGTCTGTTCTACTCCCACCAGCTGGAGTCCTTATCGGTGGAAACGGCTCATGCAGTTGACAGCCCACTTGGTATGTGAATATTAATGTCATGGAAATTTATAGAATATGGTGAAGCTATGCATTATAAGTCCATGTCTTTATCATCTTTTCATGTCTTTTAACACCTAGTATGTGCCTGCAATAGCGGTGAGCTGGGGAGATACCTCACCGAAGATGGTGTGTTTAAGTAGAATCTTGAGAGATGGGTAGAATTGCCAGTAAGAGTACTTGTGAGTTTTGGAGCAGAGAGGTCAAAACTACACGCACTACATCTCAGATTTGCAAAAGATGCAGCATAATGTATTCTATAACTGACCTTGTCATGCTCACCTTCTGGGAGATGGAGGAAGTACCGAAACCCACCATTCAGAGGAAGGTTATAAGATGAAAACACTGGAGAAGCTGTCACCTCTAAGAATTTCCCTTCCTCATTGACAGGTGAGCCTACCAGTCCTGTGAGAGAAGGGAATGACCAAAGACTGTAGTGAATATTTGCCTCTTCTCCACTCTTCCAGTCTCCATGCCCTCCTTGCATTCAGGGAATCCTGGTTCCATCACCACTAATTGTACCATAAACTTAAGGAGGAAGACGAGATACAATGTCTACCTCCTTGAGGAAGTCCCTCAGGGCTGGCCAATGAATTCTTATTAAGCACAACAGAACGCTTTTGTTCTGACTTGCCCAGTAGGTTTTAATTGCTGGGCCTCTCAAAGGTAGGATTTGTTTGGACTAACATCCGTGTCCTTGATAGCTGGCTTCAGAGTACATCTGTTTTCAAAAAAGCAATAAATGTCTATTAGTAGTACTTCTTTTCAGAAAGCACCTGGCTTATCTTCTGAACCAACAGTTGATGTTCAGTAATGTTTGAGTTTTCAAAAAGATTAACTCATCTGGATGCTTCTTTAGTTCCACAGCGAGAATCAAACTTTGATTTATTTTCCCTTATTGATTTCTTTTCTGATACAAAACAGAGATAAAAGAGAGGGAAGTTTAAGTACAAAATTTATTGCAGTAAAGAGACCAAAACAATTTTCTTATGTAAACCAAAATTAACATGCTTCATATGACTACCAGAAGTTGGAAAAGCCACCTATGACACATGCACACTCTGGCTGAAAGCCCAGTGACAGAGTTGGTTCAGGCCCATGGACGTGTTCAGACCCCAGAAACAATTTCAGGTTAACAGTCTCAGTAAAGGGATAGAAAGAGATGACAAGAGAGAAATAATAAATTGCATTGCTAAGAAATAGTCACCTTCTCATCGAACAACCATGAGTGACCTTCATATCAGTTATGCCCTTGAGGTCAAGGATTCAAATCCCAGAGGCCCAAATGCATGTTTCATATAAAGGGACCAGGATTTCTTCTTATGTGGCTTCCTTGTGTATTTGTCAAGATATGCTTAATCTGTACACTCAGCAAAAATGGGAAGAGGAGGCCATGGAGGCTCCATTCCATCTCAACAACCCTCTTCCTCCTTGAAAGCTCTTCATCTTCGCCACCACTATTCAAGTCCCCCTCTTGCCCATTCACTGAGGACTGCCTGTCACCAGCAGGAGCCACTATTCATCATCGATGGAATGATCAGAGAGAAGGAAACTTCAAGAAGTGAGGGTCAAGCTCTTAGGCAGAAAATATGGAGTATGTATTTACATGTTAAAAGAGAACCCTATTATATGTCAAATATGGTGAAAAAGTTTAAATTTTTTTAAGTTAAAAAATATAAAAGAGAATTCTAGAGCAAGCTCTCTG